TTTGTATGATTTTAACGTAGTGATTAAGGACCCAGATAGATACGATTTAGTGATAAGATATTAGTGTGGATATGGATATTGGTGTGTGCTTGGTGTGCGTGAGTGAAAGTGGCAGTTGTGTGGGTAATGTGTTTTGTGTGCAATATAAAAATGCTTTGGTTTGGTGTGGTGTGTGTGTGTGTTGTGTGGTGTGTGTGGTGTGCGTGTGGTGGTGTGTGTGTGTGGTGGTGTCTGTGTGTCTGTGTATGTATGAGTGTGTGCGCATATAAACATTACTTTCCGAATCATTCTATTTATTAAGGAAAATACCAAATCAAAGTTCTGTTATAGCGAAGACATGTAGGCGAATTAGGAATCATCAGGGAATATTTTATATAATTTACTAATAATCTATAATCTTTTCACAGATAAGCCGTCCAGAAAATACGTATGAGATAAGCTCAAAATCCCTAACAAAGACTGATAGTGAAAAAAAAATACGTATCTGCAACATACACAGAGTCTACCGCATATAGGTATATTTAGGGTTATTATAAAAAAAAAAAAAACATTATATTCACGTGTATATATGTGCTTATCGGGGGGGGGGGGGGGTGGGGGGGGGTAGGAATGGCTTATAGGGGGGAGGGGTACATGTTTCAGAGGAGGGGGATGGGAGGGGGGGTACATGGTTCAGAGGAGGGGGGATGGGTAGATGGGAGGGGGTGGGGTAACACACATACACACAGACAGAGACGAATCAGTATATCCTGTCATATATATTTTTGATTTAGACACGTTATCACTAAGAAAAATAGCCAACGAGACCACACACAGACCAGAAAAGTGGCCATAGTCAACCAGATTTTAAAGAATGCTAATTCAAATAAAATACGTAAAGCACATTGACTTTTGCAAATAAATGAAGTTTTGTAGAAGGTTTCAATGTTACAAGGTTTTAGCTTCAGTACATGAAACCCTCTGTAGGATTAGAATAAATCGAAAGGTTGTAGTATTACGATTATTATTATTTATATTATTATTATTTATTTATGATATTTATGATATTTTTATATCTATTATTATTATCATTATTATCATCTTATTATTATTATTATATTATATTATCAATTATTATTATATTCATTATATTATTATTATTATTATTATTATTATTATTATTATTATTATTATTATTATTATTATTATTATCATTATTATTAGTATTATTATGTTTATGTATTATATTATTTATTTTTATGATATTTATGATATTTGATATTATGATATTTTATGATGGAAATAAAATCATAACGAAAAAGTGGGTATTGGATATGTTGGAGGATGGAGAGATAGAGAGAGAGAGAGAGAGAGAGAGAGAGAGAGAAGGGGGTTAAAGGTAAAAAGAGAGAAAGAAATTAAGAAATAAAAAAAACAGCAAAATAACCCACAGAAACTAACAAAAAACACAAAACATAACAAATCACTTTCTTTTTCTCCAAAGAATGAAAAAAGCCAAACACGTAGATGAAACAACCACATGGCCTATGAAGTGTGGTCGTGTTAATTACAGGTATAAACGCACAGGAAATGCCACGTACCCAGTCGCTAAGGTGAGTGGGACAAGGGGGGGGGAGGGTCTCAAGGTTATAATCTTTTATCATCAGTTCAGGAATATTAGACGGGACTGTCCCCATAGTAAAAAAAATTGTTCTATCAAGTGCAAATGAATTATGTGTGTGGGGTGGGGGAGGGGGTTGGGGGGGGGTTGTGTTGTGGTGTTCGTGTGTATGTGTGTGTTGTGTATGTGTGTTGTGGTGTGTGTGGTGTGTGTGTGTGTGTGTGTGTCTGTGTGTGTGTGTGTGTGTGTGTGTGTGTGTGTGTGTGTGTGTGTGTCGTGTGTGTGTGTGTGTGTGTGTGTGGTGTGTGTGGTGTGTGTGGTGTGTGTGTGTGTGTGTGTGGTGTGTGTGTGTGTGTGTGTGGTGTGTGTTGTGAGTTGTGTGGTGTGTGTGTGTTGTGTTGTGTGTGCGTGTTTATGTGTGTGTGTGTGTGTGTGTCGCAGACTGATAAAGAAATAGAGCAAAAAGTATTAATTTTCAACCCATGATGATGGATAAGAGAAGGTGGATTTAATAGAATTTGTGTTGTGAAATTCACCGCTGGTAACTCAGGAGCCTTGAGTTGTCAATTATGTTTTTATTAACCAATGGCGTACTTCAACCAAGACATTTTTCTTGGAATTGATATAG